CTGGAAGAGTGTACTGAACTCTGCCGCTGCCCTGCACAAGCGTCTACTCAGCTCGGGGCCGCTCCCGCCGCTGGCAGTCCGGAGGCGCTTACGCAGGCAACGCTTTCCCTGCACGACACCGTTGCGCCGCCGGATTTGGCGAGAGCGGTCTGGCGCCGCATCGCATCGGTAACGCCTCTGCTTTGTGCCAGTTGAGCGCCAAGCAGTAATGCAGCCCTGCCTCCCGGGTGCAATTCATGAGCGCGCCCACGATCTCGTCGCTTGTCCCCAGCACGAGCGTGTCGTCCGCGTTGATCAACCCGCTGACCGGAAGCTGTTCCTCTTGTGTGAATCCCTGTAGCCTGAAAGGCATCCGTGGCGTCACGCGGCAAGACGGTCATCATTACGGAAGACACATGCGGTGAAAGAGGGCACCCATGCGAGATGCCGTGCTCTTCACTCTTGCGGCCGCGATGCGGACACTGCCCCTGCCTCTCGTACCCAGGACGTTCGATCCGTGTAGACTGACCACGCAAACTCTGCAAAGGGCGAAGTGGAGCTTGCAATGAGCCATTTGGTGATAATTACTTTGTCGAAGGCCTTTGCCCAACCAGGAAGATCAGCTGGTCGGAGCGGGATTCCCACGCGGCATCAATCATTCTTCGGGCGACAAGCACGGCGTCTGACGTCCCCCGGCCGCTCCTGAAACTGTACTTGGCGTCCCATATACGACGATCTGCTCCTGCATCCTTCATCCGAGCAAGCAAGACCGTGGCATGGAGTTTGTACCCAATCGGAAGCAGCGAAATGGGTCTGTATTTGGCGCAGTCCGCAGCGTCGCCCTTCTTGAAGATCGCAGCGATGCAATGCTGCGGGGACGGACTGTTCCGCCGCGCGAGAGCGCACACAGACGCGCGCTCTGGGCTGCGCGCAGCGCGTAGCGCGAAGTTGCGTGACCTGCCCAGACCTCCAAAGCATCGACACCAATTGTTGACGATTCACGCGCACGCAATTCGTGCACTTGGTGGTGTTGGCCCACACGGTTCAGGCCACCCTGGCAGCCTCTCCAGTTACAGCGGTTGTCCACGTCTTGCAGTTCAATTCACCTCTGGCAGCTTGCAGACCCTGGCAGTCAGTTCCCCTGGCAGTCAGCACCGCGCCTGCAGCTCGACGCACATTTGCAGCCCCTGGCAGTTTTGCAGCTCCGCCCCCTCTTCGGCTACCTCCTGGTCCCGTTTTGGGTTGCGGCAGTAGGCCTGCTCTTGCTAGGTAATTTAGGACCTCGCGCGGCCCGCTCGGACCTTGACACGCCGTCGGCGTGCTCGCCTGCGGCTGGCAACAAAAAAGTATCCCCACCAGCCGCCACCGGGATTTCCACGCCACCGGGTTGGGAGTGCCGCTCCTGGTGCTCCTTCTGAGTGGCTGCCCGCGCGCTCGCTTCGCTTGCCCCCTTTTTTCTTGCTGCCTAGTCGCATCCCGGCTAGTGATCGGATGGCTTTCGACTTGCTTCGCGAGCCCGCAGACCAAAAAGTATCCCCACCAGCCCATCCAGAAACGATGCCCAGGGGAATTGAGGTGATCAGGGAAGTGGGGGAGCATGCAGAAAAACAAAGAACTGGGGGAGCCGTCCGATACCCCACGAGGGGCAGGATGGTGGAGGACAAGGAGGAGGAGAAGGATGAGGAGGATGAGGAGGAGGAAGGATGAAGAAACAGTGGACAAGGAGGAGGAGGAGGAGGAGGAGGAGGAGGAGGAGGAGGAGGAGGAGGAGGATAATGGGCATCTTTGCGAGCCCAGGGCCGTTTTTGAGCGTCTTGGGTGCCTCGGGCATCCTCTTGAGGCCTCTTGGGGATCTTTTGGGAGCTTCTTGGAGGCTTTCTGGACGCGTCTTGGCGCCGTCTAGGTGCCTCTTGGGGCCATCTTGGGCCGCTCTTGGGAGCCTTCGGAGCGCTCTTGGGGCCATCTTGGAGGACATCGATTAAACACGAGGGGAACTCCAATCAGCGTCCCCGTTCGGGAGCATCGAACATAGCCTCCTGGACCCCTCTTGGAGCGCTCCTGGGCTCTCTTGGTCCTGGGGCCCTGTTGGGCCATCTTGGAGCCATCTGGAGCCCTCGGATGGCCATCGGAAACGAAAAGGCGAGAAAACAAACACAGTGGTTTCTTGGAGGTCTCCTTGGAGGTCTCGGAGGCGTCTTGGAGCTGTCATTGAGCGTTCTGGGGGGCCTCTTGGAGCATCTTGGGAGCCATCTTGAGGCATCTTGGGCTATCTTGAGCCATCTTGGAGGTCATCTTTTGGGTTCTCTTGGGGGCCCTCATGGAGCTGTCTTGGGGCGAACAAGAAGTGCCCTCTCTGACGCCCCGCGGGGGCGGAGGGGCAAACCCAAACCCCTCCCCGAAGGGGAAGAAAGGGGGATGGAAGAGGAAACTCTCCAGACCATCTACGCCTAGAGCCCGAGGCGGGAATTTATACATGACCACCGCCTGGAGGATCAATTTTCTGGGACCTCGCAGGCGGTGG